TGTTATTCTTGGGGGCAGCAAGCGGCATAGCAACGCTCAGTGTAAGACAGCTCCTCCAAACACCAACACATTTTAGAGGTAATATTTAAAAAGGGAATAGAAAGAGAAAAGCAAATACTGTTTTACCACATCAGAAGAACCTTTGAAACCCACATCTAGAATAGACTGTACAGTTTCGGATCCCATTCTACAAAAAGTACATAACAGAGCTCGAGTTAGTTCAGAAGCAGGTAACGCTCTACAATTAATGAATAGTGAGTTTATGCTACCAGAATGATTAGACAAACTGAATATATTTTCTTTAGAAAAATAAGACTGAACGAATATGTTTAAAGGTAATTATAAAGAACCTCTGAATGCCCTACTATGGTTGCAGTCCCACATAACTGAATTTAGAATGAAACCCAATTTAGTTCATGCCTATAATCGGCTGATATGCTGGTAATCATTGTTGGCAATTCTCATTACAAAACATAGTCATTTGTAGCTGACTGGGTTTCCGAATAGATTCTAGCCACTTACTGTATATATCGTTATGTATGGGTTTCTTACCAGCAGAAACTAAATGTGTCTGCTAAACTACCACAGTGCTACATTAGTCTCTGTCATATTCTACATTTGAAAATGTAGAGGTGCATGCTGGCATTTCCAAAGTGATGTACTTGTCCAGTAAATTTCATCCACTTTTACACACATGGCTGGTAGCCTTGATTTGGCACTCAGAGGTAAAAGGTCAGTTTGAGTTAGTTACTGATGTGCTGGTGAATTAAACCAGGTTTGAGCAACCTGCTGCATTACAACTCTTGGGAATGACATTATCTGGCATGCTACACATAGCCCATGCATGGGAACTCCAGCATTACACCAAATAAAGTTGTCCTGAAACAAATATAGCATGAAGTATTTCACCAACAACCTTGTGACATTAAGTGGAACTGAACTCTAAAAAAGAAGATTACCTATATTATAGGGGAAATGTAGAAATGTTAACTGTGCCTAAGCAGTACCCTGAAAGAAATTGCCTTTTTTATGAATTCCTTCTGGAAAATAGCAGTACACCTCTGGCATGTGAGGTGCCCAGGCACTCCTGTGCCTAGAGCCCCATAGCTGTATATCTACAGAGTGAGATCTTAGGCACTGTTGCATCTGATTGCTAGTCTCAAGAAAGATTTTGGGATTTGGGGATTTCACTACTGTGCTGGTCACTGTTCTTTTTGCTGGAGGCTCTGACATTAGGTAGTAAAGCCCTGTGTCTTTTGCCTTCATCCTGATTTTTGTGGGCACGGCTTCCAGAGTTCAGTTCCTCTTTAAGATAATTATGGCATACAATAATGGAGTAACAATGAAGAGTAGTACTATTTTTCACTTCTGGTTTTCCACTGAGATGGAATACGGTTATGTACTTGTAGTGCAACTAAGCTACCATATGTGATGGCCAGTTTTACTTTGCCCACCAAAAGTAGAAGGGTTACCATTTTAGTTCAGAATGAGTATGAAGACGACAACCAAGATGTTTATTTTATTCAGCTATAATGATAGTTGCTCTATAAATGAGACAAATTACCACACCAGCTGTTTATCTATGTCACATGTCTCCCTGGTCTCTCTTCCCCCATCCGCTACACAGATTGCTTGGGCTAGGGGGGAGCAAGAAATACATTAAACTACTTACCTTATTCCTCAAATCCACAGGCTACCTCATCTCTGTGAGACCGGTCCCCTAAAGCTGCTTCACTTCACTGCCAAGCAGGTCGCAGCTCCCCGAAGTCATCGCAAACAGTACAAGACTAGCAGTCATATACCATTTTTCTTCAGCAAAACAAAGACATCAAGATAATTCTCTGATTTCCTCTGTTCCCATCTACTTTTTTTTGTCTAACTTGTAGTAGTCACACTATGGGGCTCATTTATAATGGACATATTGCTATCCACTCTCCATTTTGTTCCACAGTACAAGTCCATACTGTGAACTGCAGTTTACAGCCCATTTCACAAAATCTGCTTCCCTCAACAGAGAGAGCTCCATGATTAGAGGAAAGCTGGTCATGTGATTTCTACATTCATTTTTATTCCACTCTGCTGGCTTCAGACTCCAGCCACAGTCAGCAGATCATGGTGTACATTTGGCTTCAGACTCCAGCCACCAGTCAGCAGATCATGGTGTACATTTGGCTTCGGACTCCAGCCACCAGTCAGCAGATCATGGTGCACATTTGGCTTTGGACTCCAGCCACCAGTCAGTAGATCATGGTGCACATTTGGCTTTGGACTCCAGCCACCAGATCATGGTGTACATTTGGCTTCGGACTCCAGCCACCAGTCAGTAGATCATGGTGTACATTTGACTTTGGACTCCAGCCACCAATCAGCAGAGAATGGTGTACATTTGGCTTTGGACTCCAGCCACCAGTCAGCAGATCATGGTGTACATTTGGCTTCGGACTCCAGCCACCAGTCAGTAGATCATGGTGTACATTTGACTTTGGACTCCAGCCACCAATCAGCAGAGAATGGTGTACATTTGATTTGGCTTTGGATTCCAGCCACCAGTCAGCAGAGAATGGTATACATTTGGCTTTGGACTCCAGCCATCAGTATGGTATGGTATACATTTGTAAAACACTTTGTTGTATTTGATAAATATACAGAGCTTTTTTTTTT